TAGAACTGCTGCTGCTTGAGCCCGGTGCATCAATGAAACTGCTAACACTTGATCTCAGTGCAACGGGAGAGCTGCTGCTACTTGAACTTGGTATGCTACTAAGGCTGTTGCTACTTGATATTAGTGAGATAGTAGAGCTGTTGCTGCTTGAACTCAGTGCAACAATGAAACTGCTGCTACTTGAACTCAGTGCAACGGAAGAGCTGCCGCTACTTGAACGTGGTATGACCCTAGAGCTGCTGCTGCCTGATATTAGCGAGAAAGTGGAGCTGCTACTACTTAAACTCAGTGCGACAGTAGAACTACTCAACGATAAACTAAAGGTGCTGCCACTTGACCTCGTTGCAACAATAAAGCTACTGCTACTTGAACTTGCTAAGACAATAGAGCTGCTTCTGCTTGAAGTTAGTGAGAAAGTAGAGCTGCTGCTACTTGAACTCGGTGCAACAATGACACTGCTACCACTTGATCTCAGTGCAACGGGAGAGCTGCTGCTACTTGAACTTGGTATGCTACTAAGGCTGTTGCTACTTGATATTAGTGAGATAGTAGAGCTGCTGCTGCTTGAACTCGGTACAACAATGAAACTACTGCTATTTGAACTGAGTGCAATGGCAGAGCTGATGCTACTTGAACTTGGTATGACACTAGAGCTGCTGCTGCTTAATTTTAGTGAGACAGTGGAGCTGCTGCTACTTAACCTCAGTACGACAACAGAGCTACTCGACGATAAACTAAAGGTGCTGTCACTTGACCTCGTTGCAACAGTAAAGCTGCTGTTATTTAAACTTGCTAAGGCAATAGAGCTGCTACTACTTGAAGTTAGTGAGACAGTAGAGCTGCTCTTACTTGAATCCGGTGCAAAAATGAAACTGCTGCCACTTGATCTCAGTCCAACCGAGGAGCTGCTGCTACTTAAACTTGATATGACGCTAAGGCTGCTGCTGCTTGATATTAATAAGATAGTAGAGCTGCTGCTGCTTGAACTCAGTGCATCAATGAAACTGCTGCTACTTGAATTCAGTGCAACGGGAGAGCTGCTGCTACTTGAACGTGGTATGACACTAGAGCTGCTGCTGCTTGAGATTAATGAGACAGTGGAGCTGCTGCGACTTAAACTCTGTACGACACTAGAGCTACTCTGTGATAAACTAAAGGTGCTGCCACTTGACCTCGGTGCAACAACAAAGCCGCTGCTAATTGAACTTTCTAAGACACTAGAGCTGCTACTACTTGAGGTTAGTGAGAAAGTAGAGCTGCTGCTACTTGAACTTAGTGCAACGGGAGAGCTGCTGCTACTTGAACTTGGTATGACACTAGAGCTGCTGCTGCTTGATACTAGTGAGACAGTGGAGCTGGTGTGACTTAAAGTCAGTGCGACAGTAGAGCTACTCAATGATAAACTAGAGGGGCTTTCACTTGAACTCGGAGCAATAATATAGCCGCTGCTAATTAGAATTGGTAAGACACTAGAGCTGCTACCATTTGAAGTTAGTGAGACAGTAGAGCTGTTGCCACTTGAACTTGATGCTGTAATGAAACTGCTATTACTTAAACTCAGTGGAAAAGGAGAGCTGCTGCTACTTGAGGTTAGTATGACACTAGAGCTGCTGCTGCTTGATATTAAAAAGACATTGGAGCTGCTGCTACTTGAAATCAGTGCGATTATAGAGCTACTTGAAGAGAAACTAAGGCTGCTGCCACTTGACCTCGGTGCAAGAAAAACCCCGCTGCTACTTGAACTTGCTAAGACACTAGAGCTGCTGCTTCTTGAAGGTAGTGAGACAGAAGAACTGCTGCTACTTGATCTCGGTGCAACAAGGAAACTGTTGCCACTTGAATTCGGTGCAACGGGGGAGCTGCTGCTACTTGAACTTGGTAAGACACTAGAGCTACTACTGTTTGATATTGGTAAGAAAGTGGACATGCTGCTAGTTAAAGTCAGTGCGACAGTAGAGCTACTGAAGGATAAACTAAAGGTGCTGCCACTTGACCTCGGTGCAACAATAAAGCCGCTGCTATTTAAGCTTTCTAAGACACAATTTCTGCTACTACTTGAAGTTAGTGAGACAGTAGTGCTGCTGCTACTTGAGGTCCGTGTAATAACAAAACTGCTGCTACTTGAAGTCAGTGCAACGGTAGAGCTGCTGCTACTTGAACTTGGTATGATACTAGAGCTGCTGCTGCTTGATATTAGTGAGACAGTGGAGCAGCTGCGACTTAAACTCAGTGCGACAGTTGAGCTACTTAATGATAAACTAAAGATGCTGCCACTTGACCTCGGTGCAAGAAAAAACTCGCTGCTACTTGAACTTGCCAAGACAGTAGAGCTACTTCTAGTTGAGATTAGTAAGACAGCAGAGCTGCTGCCACTTGAACTCGGTGTAACAATGAAACTGCTGCTACTTGAGCTCAGTCCAACGGGAGAGCTGCTGCTACTTGAACTTGTTATGACACTAGAACTGCTGCTGCTTGATATTGGTGAGACAGTGGAGCTGCTGCCACTTGAACTCCGTGCAACAGTGAAACTGCTGCTACTTGAACTCAGTGCAACGGGAGAGCTGCTGCTACTTGAACGTGGTATGATACTAGAGCTGCTACTTCTTGATATTAGTGAGTCAGTGGAGCTGCTTTGACTTAAACTCAGTGCGACAGTAGAGCTACTCAATGATAAGCTAAAGGTGCCGCCAATTGACCTCGGTGCAACAACAAAGCCGCTGCTGCTTGAACTTTCTAAGACACTAGAGCTGGTATTACTTGAAGTTAGTGAGAAAGTAGAGCTGCTGCTACTTGAACTTGGTATGACACTAGAGCTGCTGCTGCTTGATTTTAGTGAGACAGAGAAGCTGCTGTGACTTAAACTCAGTGCGATAGTAGAGGTACTCAATGATAAACTAATGGTGCTGCCACTTGACCTCGGTGCAACAATAAGGCCGCTGCTACTTAAACTTTCTAAGACAGTAGAGCTGCTACTACTTGAAATTCGTGAGACTGTAGAGCTTCTGCTACCTGAAGTCTGTGCAATAATGTAACTGCTGCTACTTGAGCTGTGTGCAACGGGAGAGCTGCCGCTACTTGAACTTGGTATGATACTAGAACTGCTGCTGCTTGATATTAGTGAGACAGTGGAGCTGCTGCGACTTAAACTCAGTGCGAAAGTAGAGCTACTCAATGATAAACTAAGGATGCTGCCACTTGACCTCGGTACAAGAAAAAACTCGCTGGTACTTGAACTTGCTATGACACTAGAGCTGCTGCTACTTGAACTCAGTGCAACAATGGAGTTGCTGTTACTTGAAATCAGAACAACAGGAATGCTGTTGCTAGTAGACGCTGGTGAGACACTGTAGGTGCTGGTAATTTCACTCAGTGTGACAAAGGAATGGCTGCTGTTTGAACTCAGTGCGATATTTGAGCTGCTGCCACTTGAATCCGGTGCGAAAATGGAGCTGCTGCTACTTGAACGGAGTGCAATAACAGAGCTGCTGCTAGTCGAGCTCAGTGTAAGAATGGAGTTGCTGCCACTTGAACTTGTTAAGAAAATAAAGCTACTGCTACTTGAACTCTGTAAGACAATTAAACTGTCGTAACTTAGACTCGGTGTAACAATGGAGCTGCTGCTTCTTGAACTTAACGCAACAGGAGAACTGCTGCTAGCTGTAGTTGGTGAGACAGTAGAGCTGCTGCTACTTGAACTCAGTGCGACAACAGAGCTGCTTCTACTCGAACCTAGTGCAACAATGGAACTGCTGCTTCTTGAACCTAGTACAACAGGCGAACTGCCGGTAACTGAACTTGGTGAGACCTTAGAGCTGCTGCTAATTGAACTCAGTGCGAAATTAGAGCTGCTGCTACGTGAGACAGTGGAGCTGCTGCCAATCGAACTCAAGGCAACAGAGGGGCTGCTTCTACTTGAACCTAGTGAGACACTAGAGCTGCTGCTAGTGGAACTCGGTGCGCAAATGGAACTGCTGCTACTTGAACTAAGTGCAACATGAGAGCTGCTGCTACTTGAACTAAGTGCAACAATGGAACTGCTGCTACTTGCACTCAGTGCAACAATAGAGTTGTTGCTACTTGACGCTAGTGAAACAGTGGAGCTGGTGCTACTTGAGCTCAGTGTAACAATGGAGCTGCTGCTACTCGAATCCAGCACAACAATGGAACTGCTGCTTACTGAAATCGTTGAGACAATCAACCTACTGCTACTTGATCTCTGTAAGACAATAGCAATGAAGCTACTGCTACTTGAAATGAACGTGATACTGGAGCTGCTGCTACCTGGACTTTGTGAGACAGTAGAGCTGCTGCTACTTGAGGTCAGTGAGACATTGGCACTACCACTTTCTGAAATCTGATGGACAGTGGATCTGCTTCCACTTGAACTCTGTAAGACAATGGTGATGCGCCTACTTGTAATTGGTAAGACACTAAAGCTGGTACTACTTGAACCTAGTGTGACAATGGAGCTGGTGCTATTTGAACTCTGTGAGACAATGGCATTGGTTCTGTTACTCGAAATGAGTGGGACACTAAAGCCGATGCTACTTAAACCTTTTGTGACAATGGAACTGCTGCTTCTAGATTTCAGAGCAATAATGGAGCTGCTACTGTATGAACTTGGTGAGACAGTGGAGCTGCTGCTACTTGAACTAAGTTTGACGTTGGAGCTGCTGCTACTCAGTACGTTAATGGAGGTGCTGCTGCTGCTTGAACTTTGTGAAAAAGTGGAGCTACTGCTACCTGAACCTGGTGAAACATTGGAACTGCTGCTACCGGAGCTCTGTGAGACAATTGAGCTATTCCCACTTAAACTTAGTGGGAAAGTTGAACTGTTGCTTCTTGTAGTCCGTGAGATAATAAAGGTGCTGCTTGGTGAAGTTAATGATAAACTGGAGCTACTGCTGTTCAAACTTGGTGNGATGGCGCCGCTCCAGTACAGTTCTCGGTTTCATTTATTACAAGGGTAAAGTTCAAGAAGATCAGTTTTATGATCTTGCCAATGGGTACCGTGATATTCCAGATACAAGTCTTGTTTGCGGTATAGTTTGTGGGAAAATTGGGGCTGGAAATGTGACCACTAGAAGCATTAATGGATTCTCCAGGAGATGTGCAAGCTGAAAAAGGAAGAATGTATTATTCACTCTTTGATTTCTTGGTGCAGACGAACTTGAAAGAGTTCCAGAAATAAAGAGATTAAAATGTGCCTCATACTGGCACTGTAAATTATTACTATTACCATAGTAGAAAAGAGAAATCCTGTAGACCTAAACATAAAACAAAACTGTAAATTTTTCTAAATGCAGACATCGAAGACGAAAGTTTAATACTTACGATCGTTTTTCACATGAATCGGGGAGGCAGCTGCAACAGACACAAAGAACGGACATATGAAAACGTTACTTAACTTAAGGCCGATAGAAACAGTTTATTCCAAACATTAACAAGGTCGAGGTCATCTGAGCAAAAGAGGAAAACAAGCTCCCATTTAGTATTGTTAGAAGTTGTGAACTGCGATGGTTTCCAGGTGAGACCAAAAGGAATATTAAGCCGAGCTTTGAACTATGAGCTTCTATCGAAAAACATTTCTTTTTCTGTGCTATTAAAACGCTTAAACTGGTCTTAGTCCCATATGGATGCAAGACAAAACAAGGAACTTTTGCTTTCATTCGAATGACTATATTTCTACTCGACTTTGATGAAGACGACACGACACTCTAGACCTAATTCATTTTGTACGCCTCTTAAGAAGTGCAAAAATGGAGCTGCTGCTACCTGAACTCGTGGCAACAGGAGGGCTCCTGCTACTTGAACTTGGTGAGGCACTGGAGCTACTGCTAAGTGAGGGCAGCGCGACAATGGAGCTGCTTCTACTTGAACTCAGTGTAACAATAGAGCTGCTGCTACTTAAGCTGAGCGTGAAAATATAGCTGCTCCTGCTAAACGTTTGTAGGACAGTGGAGCTGCTTCTATTTGAACTCAGTGCGACAATAGAGCTGCTGATATGTGAACTTGGTGGGACTTTAGAGCTGCTGCTACTTGAACTCAGTTGAACAAAGGAAATGCTGTTACTTGAACTCAGTGCGACAATAGAGCTGTCGCCGCTTGACTTTAGTGAGACAGTGGAGCTGCTGCTACTTGAACTCAGCGTGGCACTGGAAAATGCTGTCAAACAGGTGAAAATAGAATAAACAATTGATGACGCAATTATTGATGGCATTGGAAGATAAGGTTTGGATTGATTTCACTTTTGGAAAGTTGCTATGAACTTGAGTTTATTTAGCCTGCAACAATGTCAGAAGGTACGAATAACCTCCATTTGGGCGATGACAGACCCTCAGTTTAATTCATATTAAAACTAATACCTACTTTCTAATAACTTTGCTGCACACTCATTATGGGTATTGAACATCCTAGAAGTATGAAGGCCGTTTGTCACGCATTACACTTATGCAAGGGCTAAGCCGTCGCCATACTTTCTTGATACCATTAAAGTTAAAAGGCACTTATGTGAATCTCCATCTATCGCCTCAAATGTTGCATTGAACTCCTTGTCTACAGGACCGGTGCGGGATTCAAATTTCACTTGAATGAAATTTCCCTCGGAGTATACAGGGTCGGAAAGCTTTTGAC